CCAACCCCCTCCCCCCCAATCACCATCTTCTTGTTTTCCCCATTTGTGTCCCCCTTCACAATTTCTCAAATCATTCCCAAACAATTAAAAGCAACTAGAATTGGCTAGAGATGATTTCGTAGGCTACGATTCTTCAAACTCAATTTCAGAAAAATTCGTGTTCTTCAACTGACTTCGAACAAACCCAGTTTCAGTAGTCGAACATACTTCTTCGAGTACACTTTGAACATATCCAGAAATTTCGAACCGAACCATCTTCTTCGATAGACTTTGAACAGACCCAAAAATTTCTTCTTCTTCGAACAAACCCGACCATCATCTTCTTTGAACTGGCTTTAAAATTTTTTGAACCAAAGCCTATCGAATCAGCTACAATCGACCTGAATCTATAGATTCCATTTCACAAAAAAACTTTCAACAAAGGTTTCGAACATCCAATTGATTTCGACCTCCAATTTTCACATCCAAACAGCTCAGCTTCTTCCACAATGGGTGATGAAGAACGAGGAACACGAACTCATATTTTCAGAATTTAAGATGGATTTCCGATACTTCATTCCAGATTCAAAGTCAAGAGCAATAGCAAATTTTAAATTTTACTCAATTCATAATTTTAAACACCCAAGAACAAAGTGCATAACAAAGCACTCAAGTAGATATTTTGTTGTTGAAATTTTTCGTAATTAATTTAAATCTTTTAATTTTCTGATTTAACTACTGAAAAAATGACTCACGCGCTCAAAATGTAGCAAACAGGCATATGCCACATAAGCAACATATGTTTACTTGATACACTTAGTAACCTATTGAAGTGTTTAAATGGTAAAGGGATCAGTTGAGGTGTTTGTTTGATTGTTGGAGACAACTTAAAAGGGTCGTTTATGTATTTCGCCTAATAATAATAATAATAATAATAATAATAATAATAATAATAACAACAACAACAATAATAACAATAATAATGGCAGTTTAAAATAACTTTGGGGATGTAACGACCCGGTCGTTCGTTCTGAGAGTTATAGCTCTATTTTCCCTATTTTTGTTTCTGATTGTGTTGTTCAACTGTGTTGAGTTATATCGAGTGAGTAGGTTTGGGTTCAGAGTAGTTTTTCGTGTGAAATGAACACTTAGTCTCTTATTTAAAAAGCCAAGTTAGAAAAAGTCAACCGGAAGTTGACTTATGAGTAAACGAATTTGGATTTAGATTTTTATGATTCGTTTAGCTTCGTTGGGTGATTTTAGGCTTAGGAGTGTGTCCGGAATACAATTTGGAGGTCCGTGGTAGAATTAGGCCTGAATTGGCGAAAGTTAGAAATTTGGCGATTTTGGTCGGCGGTGGAAAATTAGGTATCGGGGTCGGAATGGAATTCCGAAAGTTGGAGTAGGTTCGTAGTGTCATTTTTGATGTTTGTGCAAAATTTGAGGTCATTTGGACGTGGTTTGATAGGTTTCGGCGTTGTTGGCGAATTTTGGAAGTTTAGAAGTTCTTAGGCTTGAATTCGAGATTGATTTGGTGTTTTGGTGTTGTTTTGGGTGTTCTAGAGGTTCGACTAAGTTCAGGTAGTGATATATGACTTGTTAGAATTATTGGTTGAGGTTCCGAGGGCCTCGGGTGAGTTTCGGATAGGTTTGGGTTGTGTTGTGCTCGTTTTTCTTATGTTTTGACGCCGTTTCTTCAAGCATAAATGATATCATATCAAACAAATGAGCTCCGATTTATTTTTTATCAAAGCATTAGATCCGTATCATATTTACGGACTCGTAGCAAAAAGAATCGTCGAATTTGGACATCGTATGAGGATTTTATGGTCATTTTACTAAGAATTAGGTTGCTAGATTTGTTAGATTAATTATGAAATTGCCACTTACGGCGTATTTAAAAATCTGTACTATTTGCAAATATTGAAACCAACATATCTCCTTTATTATAAGGTCAAATTGAGTGATTCAAAAGCTTAACATGACTAGAATTTCACAAAGAATCCATTGGAGGCATAAAAATCGAGTTTCGGGATTGTTTGGCATGAGAAACGAGTCAGAATAGCTGACAGAAATATATAAAATAAGGGTATGTTCATTCAGTCATATTTTGAGTTGGGGATCTCGGATTGAGGCGAATTTCGAGGTAAATTTGCACCATAAGGATTGTGGTAAGTGTTATCTACTTATTTTTGGTTATATTTCATGAATCCATCTTCATTTTTGGGATTTGATTGATGATTTCAAAGTGAAATTGAGGGAGTTAGGGCTCGAGTTTTGGAGAGTTTTAGGTAAGAAATTGAGGGACCAAATGGAGTCCGATTTTGATAATTTTTATATGGTTAGATTCGATAGAGGACGAGGGTTTTGATTCTACCATTGTTGACTGGTTCCGAGACGTGGGCCCGGGGGGCGAGTTTTGGCTAGTTTCGAATTTTTGGCATATTTTGTAGTTTTTATTGTAGAATTCGATTCGTTAGCCTATGTTGATGGTATTAATCTGATTATGGTTATATTTGAAGATTTTGGAGACCGAATCCAGAGATGAGGGCATCCCGGAGTATGATTTTACGCTGTTACGGTAAGTAACAATTTTAACTCTAGCTTTGAGGGTATAAACCCGGAGAATTTGATATCGTGTGACTGTTTGGAGGTGATACCCATGCTAGGTGACGGGTGTGTGGGTGTATACCTTGAGGGATTGAGACTTGGTCCGTCCCGTGAGGCCTCATGGCCATCATCTGTGTTTACGTAGTTACTTGTTGTTGAACTTGTCTGCCTCTATGTTAGAGATCATGCTTAGGCTTTATTCATGCTCACATTATTTGTACTCAGTCATAGAAATTATTGTACATATTTACCTCACTCTCTATTATTTACTAATATGATGTGATACTTGATGTGGGTTGTGTTTCCTTATTTGTTGATGATGGTGAGGCTAGTGAGGTACATGATTGAGTGAGGCCGATGGCCTGGTTGTGAGGATATTAATACCATAGCGCGTGAGTTGTCCGCGTAGCACGTGAGTTGACCGTGTGGGTTCAGGTATTAATACCATAGCGCGTGAGTTATCCGCGCAGCACGTGAGTTGACCGTGCGGATCCAGGTATTGATATGATGGCACGTGAGTTGTTCGTGCTTAGCGCTTGGGCTTTGGGAGCCCTTCCGGAGTCTGTACACACCCCCAATGAGCGCAAAGTGTTGAGCATTGAGTACTGAGTGATGGAGTGACATTGTTGTGAGGTTGCATTTACTTTTGTTGTTGCTGCATTTACTTATTAATTTTTCTTGTAGTCTTACTGATTTATAAAATTACCTGTCTACTCTTGTTTGTACTTAATTGTGGAAATAATAATTGGATTATTCTGCTTAGCTCGTCACTACTGCTCAGTTCCTTAGTTATTTTTGTTACTACTGAGTTGGTTGTACTCATACTACACCTTGCACTTTATGTGTAGATCTAGGTGAGTTAGAAGGCAGCGATCGTTGAGTTCAGGCCGGCTATCTTTGGAGACTGCAAGGTAGCTGTTAGCGTCCGCAGGACCTTGTTACTCCTCTTGTCATTTCTTCTTTTGGACAGTTAGATAGCTTATATATCTTAGTTCATAGTTTTAGATGCTCATGACTTAGTGACACTCCGATGTTTGGGGCTCGTTTCCGTATTTCTAAAATTATATTTAGAGTTGATTTAGTTTATGAGAAATTTAAATGTTGAAATATTTTATTAAATTCTTATAATCGGTTTAGTAGTAATATTTTGGGAAGTAGGTTTGCCTTGTAACACGATAGGCACCATCACGACCATGGTTAGATTTTGGGTCATGACATGGGCCTTCAAATTTTGAGGACCTAAGGCAACGACCTTACTAGGCTAGCCTTAGAGCCGCCCCAGCCAAAGAGAACACATGAAAAAGGGTACTCCACCCATTATTTCATAGAATTCCATTTTTAAAACTCAAAATCTTATTTCCTCTTTACCTTAAACCCATACTAAGGTGCCTATTAGAACAAAATATTTAGTCTTACTCCAACCTAAAGAGCTCCTTGAATAACTTCCTTCAAGATAATGAAAATTTCTTATACATGTATTCTTATATAACATTCTATCTGGCATAAAATAATAGATATATTTTCACATTAGCCTATTTGGCTGCACTTTCAAAATCTGCTTATTTTGTCAAAAAAAACACTTTTGAAGAGAAGTAATTTATGTTTGACTAATCAATTTAAAAATAATTTTATCAATATTTTGTACTTGATCAAGGCTTTAAAAGTATTTTTGGAAAAAAAAAATCTTTTTTTAGCTTCTAAAGCTTCTGCTACTACTAAAAAATACTAGTTATTTTTTTTCCTTAGTAACTTGGCCATACATCTCAAACCTCTAAAATAAGTATTTTTTTAAACAAAAAAATAAATAAGCACTTTTGGCTTCTCAGAAACTTGACCAAACAAGCCATCAAATATTACATAAAATTATGAAGGAATTATTTTTTCTTATACAACCAACCACATAATGCATAAGTTATGAGGTGATTATTTTTTCTAATCCCTCTATCCAAATATAACACTAGTATTACTTTATACAAGATTTTATGTTGGGATTATTTTTTCAATCTCTCCGACCAACGACCCCTTAGAAATATTTTACCTTGTATTGCGTAGAAGCATAGGTATTATAATTCAATTGTAAAGTAGTTGATTCCAACTGAATCTGGCGCCCAGTGGAAGAAAGACATTTGCATTGAACTGATTTCTTCAACTATGAAATCCACTAAACAATCATTGTAAAACCAATGGAGATCACATCATCCTACCCAAAGCCACCATTGTTTTATACCAATACCTCTTCAAGAAACTCCAAGAAATGGATACCCATCACTACTCACTCCATCTCCAACCCCCCGCCCCTTCAATTTCAGTTGCCTTTACATAGACCCCACCACAAAATACACCAACCCATCAAACCTGAACCCAAGAGAACTACAAACCCAACATGCACAATCTCTGATGTTTTAAGGCTAATGGACGGTCTTGGCCTTAACATACCTGTTGACATATACGTTTCACTTATCAAAGAATGCACTGAATCTCGTGACCCTTTAAAAGCTGTTGAGCTTTACACCCATATTTGTAAAAGTGATGTTATTCCTAGCTTGCCGCTACTCAACCGTGTGCTGTTGATGCTTGTTTCTTGTGATTGTTTTCAACATGCGCGCCAACTGTTTGATAAAATGCGCGTCAGAAATTCTAAGTCTTGGGCTGCGATAATTGCGGGTTGTGTTGAAAATGATGAGTGCGAAGAAGCTTTGCGTTTGTTTTTGGCAATGCAGAGTGAGACTGGGAACTTATGTAAATGTGGTGATTTAATTGATGATGGGATTTTGGTATGTGTCCTTAAGGCTTGTGTGGAAATGATGAATTTAGAACTTGGGAAACAGATTCACGGGTGGTTAATTAAGGTGGGAAGTTGTGAAAGCTTCGCTTTGAGTAGTTTCTTGATCAAGTTCTATGGAGAGTTTGGTTATCTAGAAAGCGCAGATAATGTGTTCGATCATGTTCCACATTGTAATACAGTTGTTTGGACAGCTAGAATTGGCAATTTGTGTAAAGAGGAGCAGTTTGAAGGGGCCATAAGAATTTTCAGGGAGATGGTAAGAGAAGGAGTTAAAAAAAATAGTTTTACATTTTCAAGTGTTCTTAAAGCTTGCGGGAAGTTGAGGGATGCTGGATGTTGTGGTCAACAGGTTCATGCTAGTTCTATCAAGGTAGGACTTGATATGGCTGGTTACGTGCAGTGTAGCTTGATTGACATGTATGGAAAATATGGGTTGCTAAGGGACGCACTGAGGGTTTTTAATGCGAGAGAGGATAAGAGTAATATTGCCTACTGGAATGCAATGCTGATGGGATGTATACACAATGGTTTCGGTATTGAAGCCATAAAGGTTCTCTATGAGATGAAAAAAGCTGGTTTGCAACCACATGAATCTTTGATTAAAGAAGTGTTGTTGGTTTGTGGGAGTAGTAATATTGAAAAAATGAATACTTGACCTTAAATGTATCTCTTAACCGTGACGATTTGAAGATGATTTGCATGATCAAGGAATTATTCCGGAATATAATGCAGCCGATGAAGTGGCTAATGTCTCTAATTTCCCTGATGAGTTGGTTGCATTTCAAGGATCAACAAGGGTATGTATATAATAATGGTCTGGCGAGCTGCTATACAATCTTGTATATGGAATATCTCTTAGTTTTTATGAATATATGAAGATGATTTGCAAGATCAAGGAATTTGTCATGGAATGTAATGCAGCCAACACCTATGCATTGGCAAATATCTCCAGTTTCTTTGATGAGTTAGTTGCATTTCTAGGATCAACGAGGGTATGTATATAATATTACTCTAAGAAGTTTGTGCAACAATCTTGCATACATGTATGTATATAATAATGTTCTGAAGAGTTGTGGAGTGATCTTGCAGACATGACGAGAAGTTATAGCACTAAACTTTGGAGTACCACATTTGACATGTTGTCGAGCTAGCATATACTATGATGTTTTGTTAAACTGGGTCTCTGTAGCTTAGCAATGCAAGAAATGCAACTCTGTTACCAGTATCCAAGATCGGTATTCAAATTAGTTTTACGATTTTCGACACTGCAAAATATGCTGTTGGTATGATTTATCATGACAACGGATCAGTGCATAAAGGTTGTTGCTGATGATTTGGTGCATAGCCAATCTACTTATTTTGGCAGTCATAACTTTGACACAAGTGTATATACATGAGACATTGCCCTGGAAGAACTCCAGCATATCTACTGGACCTATATTATAGAACCCTGATAGTGAGCAAAATCACTTTGTGGCAAATCCAAGACTAAGCAGATACTATAGTTTTTCAGTTTTATAGGCTTTACAATCAGAAGTATCTTTCTTAATTATTAGCTGCCTTTTGCACTTGAGCAGTCAGATGAATTTGTAATGGCGTTAATCAACTGATGATTATTTTGAAATTTCTGTTTGCACAAACCTATAGATATATGGGCATGAGCATTATTCTCACTGTTACCGTGCTCGAATCTTATTAGCTATATTAGCTTGTTGGTGTCATTCCCATCATATTTTAATCTTTTGGTGCATATTCTGCAAACTTGAAACCGTGAGGTTGGTATAAAGATTTCTGAACACTTGAGAATCTTGACTAGTATTGCAACTGTTTTTGCAGTAGAAGATTTATATTTAATAATAAACTATTCTCTTGTTTGCACAATATATTTGTCGACCAGGGAATGCTATTCCGTGAGAAGGAACCCGAGGTCCCCTTTAACCAGAGGAGATTTTTACCAATATGTATAGAAACTTACAAACCCTCGTTGTTTAGGTTTTAACTTAATTACAAGTTGATATACAATCTATCAATTATATACAGATTAGTATTAATGAGTATCCCTTTATATTAGGAATTGAATAGAGAATATCAATTATTCCCTCTTCATGCTCTCTCTTCTCTCTCCACCTTTATAAAGTAGAGGTAAGTGTTGGGATCGAAAATAACAAAGCGTCATGCGAAAGCTAATAATTTGCAAATCTTGAACACAATAATCAGACGACAAAGTAAGCTATATTAAGGGTGTGGTTGGTATGAAGGAAAATATTTTCATGGAAAACGAATGATTTTATTACTTATTTTCCCTTGTTTGGTTGGCGAGTGAAAAACTTTTTTCGGAAAATATTTTCTAGTGTTTAGTTAGAGAGTAGATTTTTTTTTTGTGGAAAATATTTTTTTATGGTACTCTCCTCATCCCACTTCCCCCAAGTCCATATGTTTCCTTGCTCCTCCTCTCTCCCCC